GGGCAGAAGTGGCTGAGCAGAGAAGGGGACAATCATGCGTATGCAGGAAGGAGGAGCTGGACCAACTTCTACAAAGTCATTCGCCATTCTCAGGAGAGGATATTTTTCATTCTGGCAGATAAGAACGCTGCAGGGGCCAGGAGGCAACCTTGTTAGTCGTGTCCAATTGACACATGATCACCAACATACGGGGGGACAGGGCATGCTTATATGTAGAATTCTATCAGTGATATTTTATCCACACAATCAGAACACATTTCAGGAACCAAAAAGCTTTCTTGAAAAATGCGACTTCTGAACTGTCTGGCCCCAAAATGGCAGGCATTCCATTTTGGCAACTGTAACCCTGCTGCCATTAAGGAAACCCCGGTTTGGCACCTATCTGAGTTTCTAACACTGACAGTAGCAGAAGGTAGAAGTGCACTGGGAAAGCCTGCATTACATCCACTACATGAGATTGCTAGACCTCTTGCTGCATTAAAAAACACACACAAGTTGTTCTTCTTTTCTTCTTCTCATGGAACAAATGATTGTGTTCACTACTGTTTAGGCTGGTGCTGAGAACAGTTTTGTTCTGGGAGCAAATTAACTCCTGCATTGTTGGAGTTGGGTGCATAGAATAAAAAGCTTGCCTGGGATAAGACAGTCAACATGGATTGTTAATTATGAAGGGCTGCTGGTTGGGCAGTAGAGCTTGGGGAGAGGGAGTTTGTATTCTCTAGACTAGCTAGGGAGGCAAGCACAATGCTTCAATTTAAAGAGGGAGATGGTTAAGGGACTTACACTTTGTGGGAAGAGTGAAACAATACTGCCTTGACCCATAAGGTCTTTTCCTTAATTTTGGGGTTGGTGGGAGAGAGCAGATTTTAGTTGCTCAGTGGAGAAGGAAAGACACTCTGCATGTGCTCAGGGTGACTTTTGCTATATCCCCACTGATTAGCAGAAATGTGGTTGGCTATCAAGCCCAGATACAATTTGTTGATCCCAGGCAACAATGGTTGCCAAGGTCTCAGGGGAGCCCCAGCAACAAAAGGTTAACCTTAGGAACACCAGCTGCTAGGGAAAATAAAGGATGAGGAACAAACACAGTGAGACAGACAGAGGGAGCAGATTAATGAAAATCAAGAATTGCAATAAAGGCAAAGCAACACCTAGGCAAAGCTAAGGAGGAATGAATGAAAAACATATAAATGAGTGGCTTTAGAATGGGGATGTGATTTGGGAAGCAAACACTAGAGAGAAAGATGTGCCAGACACTCTGCACTTAGCAGCAGACAGGGGATCAAAACAATGGCCATCTTTAGAAACAGTTTTCACAGCGCCTTCCCACAAAGCCCCTAACAGGGAATTATCAAGTGGGGACATAATCAAACAGAGACTGGCATCCACAGCTTAGTGCTTACTACCTGATGTGTTTGCAGTGCCAAACACCATTATGATCTCACTCCTTTTTGGCTATGTAAGTTGGATCCCCACCTCCTGGCAGACACCTACGTACACAGAATATACAGTGGGGAAACTTAATTTTCTACACTCATTGCTACTGTTTCTGCAAAAACTACCATATTTTTCCATGTATGACTATGCTTTTGCTACAAAAAATAATGCAAAAATTGGGTGTCGTCTCATACACCGATAGTGAACGCAGAAGGGGGACGTGTGATTAATGGCAGCAGCAAGCAGGAGACTGGCAGCAGTGATTGAGTGGGTGACTGGCTGTGGCTGCAGCAGTTGGGAAGGCGACTGGCGGCTGAGGTGAGGCGGGCAGGTAATTGGCGGCTGCGACAAGTGGGCTGCTGGTGGCGGGGAGCGGGCAGACAATTGGTGGCTTCGGTGAGGGGTGCAATCGGCAATGGCTGTGGCAAGCGATTGGCAGTGGCGGGCAGGCGGGTGAGCGATTGGCGGATGCGACCTCCTCCACTCCCCCTAAAAGCTAAACAACTGAATTTCTTAATTTCGGGTTAAAAAAAAATAGGGGGTGTCTTATACATGGAAAAATACGGTAATTTGGGAGTGGCAGGGGACTGGTGGAAGTTGCACAAGCTACTTTTGAGGCCATGGCGGCCCAGGGGGTGGGCGCCAAAGAAAGATGGCAAATGGATCCAATGATTATATTGTAGGCGTACTTGAAGAAACTTGGAATAAGCCCCAGGTGGAACAGATAGTTCTTCAGATAATTTATGCCAAAAGGTTAACTGCCCATGGAAAACCAGCATAATGTCTGCAGTTATAAGACTGGTTACTGAAAAGGTGGAATAACACAGGCCTTTTAAAACTTACTTGCGCCATAGGATTGAGACAGGAAAGGGGTCTTAATTCGAATAAAGTCTTTCATGAAGAACAGATTTGTTTAATGCTGGAAATTGCTTCAACAGAAATAATGTATAATAAAATATGAGCTTAAAAATATCAAGCCACACTTTGCTCTATCATCTTAACAGGGGAAGGGGAGGAAGCTGCCGCAAAACATCATCTTGCTACAACTTCCTTAAAATGTGCAACAGTAAACTAACGAAATTACACCCGCCACTAGCTCAAAATGCTTTTCACGCAGAGCCTACAGGGCAGCCGCACAATCCCATGACCCACAAATAACCTTGGCATTAGCGTTTCTTCACACATGCCCTATTTCCTTAGGCATCTCTGAAACTTCAAAACAAGAGATGCCTTTTAAAACCTTCAGCTGCATTCAAATTTCCTTCTCCATAATGATGCAAGTGCCAGGACGCACATTTGACACCATCACCATGTTTTTCAGCTACAACTTCAACCAACAAGTCAGCTGACCCTACAAAGCAGAAAGAGAGAGAGAGTTTTCCCAGAAGTATTGGCTTGTTTCAAGAACTGAATGGAAAAGGCCTGAGAATCACGTCACTACTGGGAGAGTGGGAACAAAAGAAATCTGGATTCTTGTTAAAAGCTTCCTACCCCTCTTTTGGGACGTGGGTGGCGCTGTGGTCTAAACCACTGAGCCTAGGGCTTGCCAATCGGAAGGTATCACCGCGAAAGGTTGAGCTCCCCTTGCTCGGTCCCTGCTCCTGCCAATCTAGCAGTTCGAAAGCACGTTGAAGTGCAAGTAGATAAATAGGTACCGTTCCGGCGGGAAAGTAAACGACGTTTCTGTGCGCTGCTCTGGTTTCACTAGAGTCATGCTGGCCACATGACCCGGAAAAACTGTCTGTGGACAAACGTCGGCTCCCTCGGCCAGTAAAGCGAGATGAGCAACGCAACCCCAGAGTTGTTCGCAACTGGATTTAACTGTCAGGGGTCCTTTACCTTTTTACCCCTCTTTTCCCACTAAAAAGTGGCACACCATTCTGTCCCTAGAGCTCCATGAGCTGTGGTACAGTGGTTAGAGTATTGGACTTGGAGGTCTGGGTTCAAATTCTTCTTTCTCCATACAGTTTGCACAGTGATCATGTACTCATTGATGAGGAGATTTCACCCCTCCCATATTCAAGAATCTGCTGGTGTTCTCTGCTGATTCTCCAGAGAGGAGGAAGCAGTTTCTGCTCTCTACTTATTCCGCTCCAGCCTCACATCAGAGAGAGAGAGAGATCGTGTGTATAGATAAGGTTGCTGCTAAGAGCAGCTGCACTAAGAGCAGCTGCAGACACTCAGTGCAGTTCAGCATTTTCGTTTAGACCTCATTTAGCTCTGTACATAGTTGTGTATTATAGTTGTAGATAGAATAAAAGTAGATATTCTACAGAGCTGCTCTCTGAGTCGTTTATGCTCTGCTATACTCTGCTGTGCAACGACTGTCTTCGGAAGTGAATCTGGTGCTCACAACTCTGAGTTGTGAGTCCACAGCACTTTGACCTGTTCCTGTGCAGAAGGTGGTCTCTGGAAGTGCTACCCAGCTCGCCTAGCCCAGTCAGGGCTGAAGTGGATGTGTCCAGTCGGTGGCACTGGCTCAAGGGCGATGCTGACAATTGTTACCTCTCAGCCTAATACGCCTTACAGTTATTGTAATGGGGGGGGGGAGAGAGAGCATCTTATGAGCTTGCTTTGAGGATCATCAATATATTAAATATAATAAATGAAACTGCACCCACTTACCTGGAAGTAAGCCCCATTAAATGCAATGTAATGGTTAGGAATGCATTGTAAATCAATTTCACTCAGTCTTCTCCATGTCCTTTAATCCCAGGTAACTTTAATCACAAAGTTATCAAAGCAACGCCAGGCTGCTGTGCACAATTTAACCCAGGTGACACACGTGGTGAATCTAAATAGAGGGGTGAAAGGGGAATTCCTGCACAAGTGGAGATGGAAAGATTAATGGGCATGTGGAGAGCTTTGAAGTCTGAAGATAATGCTCACAGTTCTCATTACAGTATAACAATTATGTGACTTAGTCACCAAGAGCTAGAAATCACAGAAGACGACCTGTGTCATTTCTAGTCCCATTTTGAATTCTACACTTGGCCATACTAACAGCAACCTCAGTACATGGACCAAACTTGACACAGACAATGATCTTATAACTCAGCCTGTCGCTCAGTTTTCCAAAGCACGCATTCAAGGAGGAATTATTCAGTTGCATATACAACAGTTTACAACTGTTCAATATATCTTCTCCCACTTTGATTTCTTTCTCTCCCAACCCCTCTCCATCACTTAAGTTTGGGCATGTAAACGTGATGCGCTAGGGATAGAGTGTGTCTCTCTCTGTCCCTGTCCCTCTTACCTATTTTGGAGGGAGGATACTTCCCTACATCCCTGGCAGGTAGGGGAATGAGAGCCTTCCTCCACACACCGTTCATGTCTTCAAAGGGGTGGGGAATGGGGGCACAAAACACACACACACACAGCATGTCCTTGAGATTGAGATGCAAGGTAAACCTTGACAGAGCTGAAAATGGGGACTATCATGTCACTGAGAGGTGGGGAGAAAGGTGCTTCAGATTAGGGAAGGACACAGAATCATAGAGTTGTAGAACTGGAAGGGGCCACAAGGGATCATCTTATTCAACCCCTTGCAATGCAGAACTCTTTTGCCCAATGTGGGGCTTGAACCCACGACCCTGAGATTAAGAGTCTCATGCTCTACCAACTACCAAATTGCATTGGAGTTAACAGGGGAGAAAACTCCAGTATTATTGCCTCTCCCCCACTCAACAACAGATAGAAACTCTTTCCTATCATGCCTGGAGGGCAGCAGGAGCCACATTCTCACTAATGTTGCCTTTGGGGGGTGGGATCTGGGCTTGGGGTATGCTCACTACGGAAGCCAGGGGAGAAAGATGCACAGAAAGATACTTGCTAGCATCTTCATCCCTGAGTAACATGGCCTGGTAATTTTACTAATTTCTGTTGGGGGCTTCACTTCCTAGAAGCATTTGAGGTGGAAGGTTGGGGTGGCTAATGAGCATTGCACTCCACACTCCAAACTGAATTACTACAAAGCACTTTGTGATGCAGCCCTTGAAGGATACTCAGAAACTTCAAATGATCCAAAGCACAGCAGCCAAGAGAGTGGCCAGTGTTCCACTTAGAACTCAAATAATGCTTGCTCCATTATAAGAATTTTATAACAATTTTTTTAAAAAAATGTAGTAAATTAAGTGAAGGGCATTTTCTCCCTCCTTCCACCGCCACCATACTGGTTACATAATTTTTTGCACAGAAGTTGCTTTCTGTTCCAGCTATACTAATTTAAACAACAGCACAGATATATAATCAGTGGCTTAATGCCAGCTGTAATTACGCCCTGTTTGGGTTGATTTGCATGAATGGGGAGACTGTTGTACTCTAGTTGTAGCTGATAACCACTGTAGTTTATTATCCGTGTAATGACTACTTCAGCGGTTGTTCACGTAAAGGAGTGGTTCTCAAAGTTTTTTCTCTGGGCCACACTTTCAGAATAAAAAAATGTGCATGCCACAATTTTTTAATTGATACCCTGGAAAACACAACTAGGATTGTCCTCAGTATCGCTTCATGTTCTTGCTCTCATTTTGAAAAGGTATCTATCCATAATCTGCAAATAAAAAAATTATGTGATGCTATCCTATTCCATACTATTTTGTACTACAATGAAATGTTTAAATGTTTCTTTGATTGTCCTTGAATCTTCCTGCCACACTTGGTAGTCTCTCCTGCCACTCCCTTTGAGAACTACTGATGTAAAGATACCTTACAGGATTTAGCAATGGTGCGAGTGTTCTAACTACTGAGATAAGGGAGGTAAAATGTTTTAGAACTTACACATAATACACGTTGGCTTTCTGATGCCACAGATGTCTGTCCAAAATTGTTCAAATGTGTCCAGCCTATTAGCTATCATTCAGGAATATTAAAGCTCCACCTTTGGGACTCTGCTCAGAGGAGGCAAAAAACATTGTGTCTGGATAATGCTAGGAGGCTTAATTTAGACACTACACCAAACTATGGTAAGGAAAGCTTAACTGCAGTTTAGTGTGATGTCTGAAACAGACAAACCATAGTTAACAGTCATTGCTCTGCCCTTGGAGGCCACTATCAATTGGACAGGTAAGCAGAGAGAAAATCAAAGCATGGAAGCATGTGCAGGTTTGCCCACACATTTCTAAGCTATGTTTGAGTTCAGACAATGATTTGGTGCAGTATCTGACTTGAAGCAAAGTGTATACAGCCTACATACTAGGGGGAGCCAAATTACATGTGTCTATTCCACCATCAGACATCTACACATAAGGCTTAGCATTTATAGGGCCTAAACATAGCATGTGACATACACCGGGCAAAACTATATGAGCACTAGTCCCCAAGAATTAGTGAAACAACTGCTATGTTTAAGCTTGTCTAGAAGGACCCTATAAGCAATCTATGCTCATGCAGATGTCTGGCAGTCCCAGAGGCAGAGCAGAAACGGCATGCCCCATAAACAGAGACTCAAGCAAAAACTGATATGTTTGGGAGCAGAGTTTGTATTCCTTTTCATCTTTAAACTGTTTAACATGGCTGCTTTTGAGATCTATCTTTGTTTACATTAGGGGATGCGACAATCACATAAAATTAAAAACAATAAAACATTCAGGCAAACATTTGTGAATATATTCACAAAGTTGTGTCAAGGTGTATATAGCAAAATTACAACAATTATTACCAATATGAAATGATGCATAGTGATGTGTATTTGCTTGGATTGTGAGCATAAGTATTTTGTATCAATAACAATTAGCTTTTATGTGAAATTATGGGGGGGAGGGGGAAAATTAAAATATATACTTCATGCATGCCAGACTGTGGTACTGTTCTATAATTCTATGAAATGCCTCATTATTTGTGTAATCCACCACCATCATCATCATCATCATCATCACACCAGACTGCATAAAAATTGTCATGTTTCTTTTGGCCTCGCTGCATTTAATTTTTATGTCAGTTTTTCCAATAATGCTGTTTGTGAACTGCATTATATCATTGGTCCATAGTTAATAACTGTAATGATTTCCACGTTCTGACAATAGTTTTTCTTGCAGCAGTTAATATATGTGTTATCAGTTTTTGTTTCTTACTGGCAACGTATCGTGACTATGTAAGTTAAGCAGAGCCAGTCCTGGGGTCATGGGGACTGTCTGCCTTGTAATCAAATATATTTATGTAAATACATTAAAAAAGAACTGACCCTATTTTAAGTTGAAACAGAACGTACATTACATGGTATCTTTTTCAATGCAATGTTCCTGCTCTAAGTGTGATGGATCAATGACACATTAAAATTCCATTTATAGAGAGTAAATGGATGGTGGTTCTATGGTTTCACACCTAACATACCGGTATTTTCAAGCCACTTTTTGTTAGGCATTTTAAGCACCCACGCAGAGAGAGGCAACAGAAGAAGCAAATAGGAAAAAAGAGTGCTTTAATGATTAGCAATACACTTTGCTCCAAACCAAGGAAATTTATAGCAAACAAGACTCCCTTCTACAAATCCACCTGCAGGCATTTAACCCCCCCCCAAAAAAGATTTCTACTTAAACAGCCCCAATTAAATAAGGCAGTGCAATGCTAAGAGAGCTAAAACCCAGGGAGTATTTGTTTATTTTCTTTCAAAAAGAGATGCATTCCCTGCTTTCATCCAGTGTTCAAGATGGCTTCTAACAAAGAAGCAGCAGCATATCTGAAGTGTTCCTGCATGCATTATGCAGCGTACAGTTTAGCTCCCTGGAAATCACAGCTAATTTTGTCTCAAGTTTCTACCCTCCGTGTTGTGAATGAATTGACCAATTTACACAAACAAAACACAGAGCATACAACACTCTAGAATCTGAAATGTGTAATAGTCACCCATAGACATCCACAGGGGAATAAGGGGAGCATTTGCCACCCCAATTAATAGTAATATCCAAATCCCCAACTACACACACACACACACACACACACACACACACACACAGAGTTTCTAGCTTCAAATAACAAAGTCTGCATTCACACGACAGCTTTTTTCCATTTTTGCAACTTTCCTCCTATTTCTACAGTATATATGAGCTTTCACATGATGTAAAAGCCACTTCCAGAAGTATTGTGGAACAGAGCACAAGTTTAACAGTCATTTCCATCAAGTCCCGTCCCCCCCCAGAAGCAAATAAACATGCACTATATTCCACTATAGTTCCAGAAACAGCTTTTACATCATTTGGAAGCTCACATATAATGCAGAACTTAGGGTTAGGGAAAAGTGATGAAAACAGAACAAATTGCTATGTGAATGCAGCCAAAATATACAGACCAGTTAGCATTATAAAATCATAAAATTGTAGAGTTGGTAGGGATCCCAAAGGTCCTCTAGTCCAACCCTCTGCAATGGAGGAGGAATAATAATAATAATAATAATAATAATAATAATAATAAATTTTATTTATACCCCGCCCTCCCCAGCCAAAACCGGGCTCAGGGCGGCTAACAACCAATAATAAAAACAAGTTGATTGAAATACAACTTAAAAACATTAACTAGATCATGGGCGGATGGCCATCCAACCTCTGCTTAAAAATCTCCAAGGAAGGAGAGTCTATCATGGTCTACACAGTGTCGTCTGCTTTAACAACTGGTTAATGCTAACTATGTATAGCTTTGAACAAATGAACTTGAACTGTATACAGTGTATACAGTGGTACCTTGGTTCTCAAACTTCTACATGCAGACATTAAATGGAACACAGGACAACTAAAAACTGCATCATGTTACTGAGTCACATAAAAACCAAATCATGTTATTTGATATAATTCTCTCGCGTGTTTCTTCAGTCTGAACTGAAGAAAGAAAGAAACGTGAAATTATTGTGTCTTGATTTTGGTGGGTTTTTTTTTCTAAACACACATCTGTTTTTTCAACATGCTGCAGATGATGGAGAAATCAGGTGAGTTGATTTGAGAGCTGCCCAAGTTTATAGTATATAGGAATTGTAGTACTAGATTGTCTTATACAGTATAGTTATTTGAAAGCATTTTAAAGGGGTAATGGGCAAGCTTAAACAACATTTTAAAACCTTGCCTTTAAAAGCATTACACTGGTCATCTTAAGAGAAAATATTTCATGCCATGTTTTTAAATTTTCTTGATATTGCAAATTCCTTTCATTGGAAAAATGGAGGGAAAGTCCATGGTGTGTGACAATGAACCGAAGTTTTCGGGGTCCTCATATATTTATTCCCTTCAGCACTCAGGGAATGTGGAATGTGCTGCTTCATGGCTTATATTGCCTCTCTGCAAAGGCCCCAAATTCTGCATAATCACCAATGCAGCAATAATAATAATAATAATAATATATCGAGCAAATTCAGACAAAACCCACATCATCTACATAATTTATTCCAAGTCAAGTGAGATTTATTTATATATGCTTTCCGTGCAATTACTGCACTCAAACTGGTACAATGGAATATTGTATGAGAAATCAAGTTTGTTACAAAAGTGAATACTCAAAACTATCAAATCACGGAACAATCTGAATAATCAAATTCTCAACAAGTCATTATACTAAACCCACCATCAACATTACAACAACAGAATTAAATAGTGATTCATTTTATCACCAGTAGAAAACAGCAGCAACAAAATATAGATTAAATTAAAAGGAGCAG